AAAAAGGGACCCTAAAAGGAACCCTTGAAAAGGAACCCCTAAAAGGAACCCTTAAAAAGGAACCCTTAAAGGAACCCTAAAAGCAACCCTTAAAAAGGGACCCTAAAAGCAACCCTTAAAAAGGGACCCTAAAAGGAACCCTGGAGTTCCGTAAGTCCCAGGCCCAGGTCATGTGCACGCAGAGAGCAATGGCCAGGACGGCGCCAAAAGTCGCCGCTAGCTTCCAGCTGTAGAACCTACGGTTTAGGGTGTAGGGTTTAGGGTTTAGGCTTCAGGGTTTAGGGTTTAGGGTTTAGGGGTTTAGGGTTTAGGGTTTAGGGTTTAGGGTTCAGGGAGGGTAGCAGAATCGCTATACCGTCGTATATGTTACTACTATTGATCAACCGTGTCTATATATATATATATACATATGTATATGATTCTTACAAACTAGTATACATGATTACATATTCTTGAATCCTATTCTATTGTGCATTGTTCCACTGTTGGCTCTTTTCGGATTGATTTCCCTCCAAGTTGTGGCTTGCGGAGCAGGTTGCATCTGTTGAGTTTAGGCTGCGGGGCCGTTTTGTGGCCTCCGGCTGATGGGCTCTACGGACTCAGTGTGCACTGGTGGAGGGGTCAGTCACATCTCTTGCCAGCTCAGCCCGCGGACGTGACCTCCCTGTTGCATGGCATAGCACAACATAATCTGGTACACAACTATAGCACAGGCCACTGCCAGTATGACATTTGTGGGAGTTCCAAGGAAGACAGGATCCCGAATCTTAACCTTTAGAAGGATCCTTAGGAGTAAGGACAATGTAGATGGTTCACCCTCTATATAGAAAACAGAAGACACATACATCCTTCTTTGACTGCTCTTGTGGCATCTGCGGCACCTCCAGCTGCCGAAGCTCCAGTAGTAGACGTAGCCTCGGAGGCATCTCGCCGGCAGCGAAGACAGCCGGTTTAGGACCAAGGGCTTAAAGTTGAGGGTTTAGGGTTTAGGGTTTTGGATTTAGGGTTTAGGGTTAAGGGCCTAAGGCCCCGGGCCTGGGGCTCAGGGTTTTGGGGCCTGTCGACATTCGATAAGGAATGGCAAGCCTTAGTAGCTTCTCATCACATTCTCTGGACTTCCCGAGCAAAGCAATGCACGAACTTCCAGGGGTCCGGGTGTGGGAGTCGTTTCTCTTGGACTGAAAAATGCCTGTGTTGTTGGAAAATTTCAGGCAGACAGGAGGGCGAGGCAACCCATGTTTCATGAAGCTCCTCGCGCCCCACTTTGCACTAACAGGAGGCCAGGGCAAGACATCGGCAACGCGGTGCTTGGGTTTAGGGGTAAGGGTCTTATCAGCGTGAAACGCTTGCGCTGACCTCAGGGAAAATGGGCTTCTAAAGAAACTCAATCCAGTCCTCGATGAAGTCGCCGTACCACCGGTACGACCTGACACTTGCTATCTTGCTACACCAAAGCAGCCAGAAATAAGCAGCCATTAGGCAGCCGGCTTGGGAAGCCGCAAGCTTTCACCAACCATGGGCACGAAGTCTGCCTGAAAGGCTCGTCCATGCATCCGCCAGCTAGGAGCAGGACAGCTCGGAGCAGGATGCTTTGTGACAAGCTGCGTGGTTGCAGTCATCCAAGACCTCGGGTGCAGATGAACGCAAGAGGCACCCCCACCAACGACATCTCAGACACGAGGCATCTTCATGAAGGTGCCGAGTGGCAACACTCTGACAGCCTGCATGTCCAGAGAGATGGCAAACTGACCAAAGGAGACACTAGTATTAGTATTAGTAGTATTATTAGTATTAGTATTAGTAATAGTATTTGTATTAGTACTAGTATGGGTATTAATACTGGTAGAAGCAGGGGCGGATGAGCCCTGCCTTCCATGAGGGCTGTGTCTACAGGGATGAGGCCGTCACCCTCGACGCCGAAGGTGCTACCCGACAGCGGAAGATAGGAGGCGAAGGCCACCACCTGTGCCATGGTGTGACTAGACAAAACAAAACTCTCTGAGAAGTGTGCGCTTTCCTCCGGGCCTCCTCCAGCAGTGCGCTGCGGCTGACGGTCTCGTTCCAAATTTTGGTGCCTTTGCTGTACATCTTCCCCTCAACCCTGTCAGAGCTTAATACGATTACGTATTATGACTAATACCAATAGAAACATACATGCAAATCCTAATACTTGTGCTCATATATAATAGTTTATATTAATACCTTACCAAGTCTTGTAGCGGCGCCTGCAGTCTCCCAGAGCGCTTGCACCGAAGCGGGAACACGCGTTCCGCGCCCCGCCACGCAGGTAACCACGGTCGGAGGCAAAGGCGCACCTGTGGCTTTGGCGAGGGTTTAGGGTTTAGGGTCTAGGGAGGGGACTGGCCATCATGCTCCAAAGGAACCTGTAACGTGAAATGCAATGTCGCCCTCTCACTCTCGCGCTTTTTCTTTGTCTTGCTTGCTTGCTGTTGCTGGCAGCCGTAGGCCTTCCCCCCCGTAGGGTAAAAGCCACGGGCGCACGCGCAGCTGGGTTCCTTGTCCCGCCAGCGTTTTTTGTCTCGCTCTCTCTCTCTCTCTCGAAGCAAGCCTGCCGGGAACTTGTCATTGATGTAGCTCAGCAGGCCACCTTAGCATGACCAGAAAGCAAGCTTAAGCTCCATCATTTTTGACACATGTCCAGCACTTCTACGGTCGAGCGATCGCAGCATGCGCACAAGAAACCTCTTGCCGAAGAACTTGTCCGAGAACAGAACTTGCCATGCCAAGTTGCGGGTTTGATCCAGAGCAGAGACGAAGGAGTCTTCTGGTGGCGACTGGTGTGGAGTGCCCAGCCTTCCATCACAACTAATTCCGGTTGCTATACTTGCATCTCGCACGCAGCAAAACGCGACAGCGACGACGTAATGACGCCTATCTGGCCCCCTAGGGCAAAGACTGGCGAGCACTTCTGGGCATGCGGCGTGACAAGTGACCGAACGCGCTTTCGGGCCACTTCCTCGCCGAGCACCTGCAACCGACACCAGAGAATTTGCGACTCTTGAGTTGCTGATGGCACCGCCACGTCTCAGAGAAGACATGTCTCGAGAGATACCATGTGGTTGTGTGAAATTCATCCACCAAGAAGCAAACCTGCAACGTTGATCAGCATGCAAGTTCGTGTGCCGTGCCGATAAGATTCTCCGTGACTCACGTGTCATCAGAGTCCGAACACAATCCATCCATCTGAATACTTGTTGTACCTTACCTTCAGTTTCACAAGCATCAGCGTCCATCTGCTTCACCAGATTCTCTTCTGAGTCGCGGTGGTCATCCTCACACCGGTCTTCATACTTACCATACATCACCACATCCATCCTCTGTTGGGGGATTCTTGCTCCTGCTATGTCTGCTATGTGGGTAGTTTTCTAAATTAGGGTCCCTTTTTGGGTCCCCAATATAGTACATCACCCTTATAAAAAGGACCCCAAAAGGGACCCCCTAATTTAGAGAACTACCCATGTGAGACCTCACCTGGAGCATCAGCTTCTTACGTTTCCCACGTGACACGGCCGAGGCGCTTCGCCGATGTAAGACCGAGCCACCCAGCCTGGTGCCAAAAAGCCAAGAACCACGATTAGGGTTTAGGGTTTAGGGTTTAGGGATTTAGGGTTTAGGGATGTTTTGGGTTTAGGGTTTAGGGATGTTTTGGGGAAAGGCGCTTAGGCATCGGTCTGGGGGTCTAGGGCTTAGGGGTGAACACGATTGAAAACACATCCTCGGCCTCCAATGGAGTGGCCCAGGAACGCGATAGGCTCCTGGCAGCTCTGGCATTTTGCTCTATGCGTGGCAGTGCGGTGAGGGCTCGCGGTTCCCAGAGACCCCAATATCCCTTAATTAAGGACTATACCTTAAATCATATTAGGCATCCTAATATATTTTAAGGTATATCCCTTAATTAAGGACCATACCTTAAATCATATTAGGGATCCTACTATATTTTAAGGTATATCCCGTAATTAAGGACTATACCTTAAATCATATTAGGGATCCTACGATATTTTATGGTATATTCCTTAATTAAGGGATATTGGAGTCTCTGGGTTCATCGGGCTGAGAGACCTCCAGGCGTCGCCCCTCTCGGGCTCTCTGCAAAAAACCGGCGCCTCCGGACCGAAGTCGGCATTCACCCATGCGATGGCCTGGCAAGCGGCATTCCTCCCCAGAGGAGTGGGGCGCCGTCTCGAGGGCAGACTTTTTGGAGTGCAGACCATCTTATGTTGCGTAAGTCAAGGATTTCCTAGGGTCCAAGAAACTAGCGCTTCCTCGTCGGACGTGGCCTCGAGCCTGCATTGTGATCATGATTACGATGGCCCTGCGTACTACCACCACTACTTCTGGTGCTACTACCACTGGACCACTACCACTACCAGACTGTCCTGTCCGCTGCGTTTTCATTGTCTCAACGGCGGGCTGAAACCTTTCGCTGTCTTCGTAGAACAACTAGATGCA